CAAGTATGACGTTGCTGACCAATTATCAATAGCAAGTGTTGCTTGTATGTTGCTTGTTTTTTTTTCTGATAGCCATCCATATTCTTCCTGGTCCTACTTAGAACCAAGAACATGGATTTTTGGCACAGCTGGCCAAAACAATGAGAAATGCCATTCCAATTTTCCACCAGTTTGAAACAGAAAACACACAAGTCATACACTGAAACCTATCCCTTGTTAAATCATTCCTACTCCAATCCCTCACTGCATGCCAGGCCTGCTTTCTTCTAAGATGCTTCTTTACGTACTGTTTGCATTTACAGCAGAGAGGATAAGAAAGGAGGTTAGGGCTTCCCTGGTGGCGCAGTGGTTGAGAGTCCGCCTGCCGATGCAGGGGACGCGGGTTCGTGCCACGGTTTGGGAAGATCCCACGTGCCGCGGAGCTGCTGGGCCTGTGAGCCATGGCCGCTGAGTCTGCGCGTCCGGAGCCTGTGCTCCGCAACGGGAGAGGCCACAACAGTGAGAGGCCCGCGTACCGCAAAAAAAAAAAAAAAAAAGAAAGGAGGTTAGTAGAGTATAATCTCTGAACAACATTCCCTAGTGGCTTCCTCTGCTCCACAGAGTCTCCTTGTTTCCAAAAATACAGAGGTTCTCAGAAAGGTTAAATTTCATATTAGAACTAACTCTCTCAAAGCACTACGCTGACCCTGATATCTTGAGTTTCCTTCCAGCTCTATGACCCCTGTGATTCTGCTCCTTTCACCTTTCCTTTCCTATCTGTGCTGAAACTTTGAGAATTGGCCATTTACAAAATAGGGTTATTTATCTTTCCAACTCAAGGTGTCATACTCAGGCCACAGGCTGCATCAGCAGCTATAAGGCATGAAGCTCCAGATAGCACATCCTCTCCTGAGGCTCCATCTGGATTACCGCGCTCACCCTGAGTTTCATGGTAGCGTTATCAATTCCCAAGAGACGTGGAACAAGAAAAGTTCAAGGTGCTACCACTGTTGCCTTCAGAGTAGATTACACATTTGTGAGATGAATGGGGAAATGTGAGCATGGAGTGCATATTATACCAAGGAATTATGCTCGATTTTGTTAGGTATGATCATGACATTTGGTTATATAGGAAAATGTCCATAACCTCTTAAGAGCTGCATACCCAGAAGAAAGTAGGAATGACATGACGTGATGTCTGAGATCTGCAGAGCTGCTTAAAATTCTTCGACAAAAAGAAAAAAAAGAAGATAAATGAAGCAAGTGCTACCAAATCTTAATAATTTTTAAGTTTCTACATATATATGCGGGAGAATTATTCTACTCTTGTATATGTTTGAAATCTTTCATCACAAAAGGAATGATAACTTCCCATTACCCATTTAAGGATTATATTATTTCCAAAGGCTGTAAATATTATTTTAAAAACTACCTGTATATACAGTAATTTTGCTTTTCACCGTTTTAGCTTTAGGAAAGGGTTTCCTCCTGGCTTGGTTATATAAAATAGACTCTTCCATTTACCACCAAGAGTTTTTCCAGGGGGGAAGGGTGGGGATGGGGGTAGAATCTAGTCTTACATATGTATCAACACATACACTTACCAGACAAGATTCCAGCTTCAATTAAACAAACAAAAAAATCTACTTTAAAAACTAACTCAGGCAAGAAGAAATCCAAGTCACAGTACTCAACCTCGATGATCTGCCACTCCAGCCTCTAGCCCTTTGACACTGTCACCACGTGACTTCTGTTCACTATTGGATACAGTTAGAAGGGAAAGGTTCCACTGATATCTGGGAAGTTATAAAACAGAAAAACTGAAAACTGAGAACTCCAGCCTCCCTCAATCAGTCAGCAGAGCAGAGGTGTGAGGGCCAAGAGCAAGCTCAAGTTTTCAGATCTTCGTAACTGGGACAATTTTCAGTGTTAACTTGATTAACAGAAGCTCTGGAAAGGCCAGGATACTCAAAACTACCACTATCAAATGACCAGAGGCAAAGGATCAAACCCGCTGAAACTTCTGGTTACACCCTTTGTTCCAACACTACTTAATGATAATTAGACCATGTGAAAAGGAAAGTAACTGTTATAAATTCCTCTTTATACAAACCTGAACTTAAGTCTAAAACATCTGAGAATTCACAATCCTCTAGTTTAAATGAAGTAACTGGCAAGTACATACAATGACACTGGGAATTATTCAGAAGAGTCAGTCACTTTTAGCATACATTATAGGCTTAATAAAATTTCAGTTTGATTTCCTAATCCTTCTATTGTATAATATTGCATAATAATAATGAATACTCATAAATAAACAGCTTCAGGCATCACAAGAATCTAAATTAATAATTATGTTTAGAAAATTCTGACTGCTAAGAACTGTGTCCTAATTCTGCAAAATATCATGATCCATGGAGGATTTATGGCCTCATATCCATGGAGGATAACTCTTAGTTAACCAAAAGAATCAATGACTCAGCATACAGATTTCTTCTTAATCTCTTAACATTCCTAGTATGTGAAAGACAAAAACCATAATTTATTTTTTGATCAACTATTTTAAATATAGAGAAAACAGAATAACATAGCAGGTCTATGAACTCGCTATCCAGATTTAATGACTATCAACATTTGATATATTTGAGATTTTTAAGGAAGTAATAAACATTGTAAATGTAAACCACAGCCTTTTTCTAGTTCTGTGATTCAGCCTTCTCACAAGTCTCTATTCCCCCCTTCTATTTTATTTAACACTCCCAGCTTTCTCACACCCCAGTTCTCACTCCTTTGTTTCACAAACCCATCGTTATCTATTATTTCACAGAAAAACTTCTTGAAGAATCTATACTTCCAATTTCCTCTCCCTCTTATTTATTCTCTAACCTACTAAAGCTAGGTTTCTGTTCACTGGACCTATTCAATTCCAAAACCTCATAAATCCAAGGTTATTTTTTGAACCTCATATTACTTGACCTCTTTAGCAACTTCTGACTGAGGCTCACGGGGCTGGGTGTCACCCAGGCTGAATGAAGGTCCTCAGAACTGCCAACTATCACTGTTAGACAATGGAGATCTGTTGTTTTGACTGTGCAGGCCCAGAAGGCCGGAGGAAACTGCATGTGTGGAGGACAGGAAACCAGTACCTAAAGGGAGAGAAGTGGCGGCAGAAGGAAGATTTGCTTTCAACTACCACTTCAGCAAAAGGGCAGAATTACAGACCAAGAATCATAGTTATAAAAACTCTAGAACACCCCCAATTCACCAAAAGATATATGTGCATTCTCTTCTATTTTCACAGACAAAAAGACTAAAGGATAAACACCAAAATGCTAACAACAATTAAATTTCTGGACATTAAGACTATAGTTAGCTTTAATTTTCTTCTAATAATACATATTTTATCAATTCTGTACAATGAACATGCATTTTTTTAATAAGAAAAATGCTGCTTTCTTAAAAAATAGCAAAGGTCTGAATGCCTGTTTTCTGGGGTAACAAAGAAGGGTGTTGCCATGGAGATGTAGCTCCACAAAGCACTTGTGAGAAGAAAACCCCAGGGAGCAAGTGGGTGTCGGGAACTTGAAAGAGGAAAGAAAAGCAGGCTGGGTGCGTGGGTGTCTTGGGAAAATAGAGGCCTCACAGGAGCCAGTCTGGCCGGAGACAACCCAGGAGGTGCCTGGCGCTCCCGAGGGCTCTCCAGGCAGCCATCCGGTCGTTTCTATTCTCCTTTCAAGATACTACAGGAGTCTCTCCACTGCTTGCACCCCACATCACCATGATGCCACTCAAATTATGTCCACCCCCCAACCCCCCGACCCGCTCCCAGCTCGCTGAGGTCCCCATCCAACCCGCACACAGTCGCTGGTGTCTTAAACACAGTGAACACTGGAAAATGTCTCAGGAACATTTAGAACACAGGATGGTCCACGCTCCCAAATGTTTACCACCCTCTGCTTACCCTGACCAGCTCAACTTCCCAGGCCAGACACGCGGCTCCACTTGGCCTCAACGCTGCAGCTCCCACCCCCATCCTCTGCCTTTGTACATTCTTCCCTGGCCTAGAATACGCTTCCCTCTCTTCCACCAGTCAACCTCTACTCACGCTTTGTGTCCAGCTCTAAAGTAAAATCCTCTACAAAGCACTCCTGGTCAACCGGCTGCTCCCCCGCTGCACGCCTCAATCATTCCTATGTAACATCTCACAGTACTTCTTCTTTTTTTTTTTTTTTTTTAACATCTTTATTGGAGTATAATTGCTTTACAATGTTGTGTAAGTTTCTGCTGTATAACAAAGTGAATCAGCTCTATGTATACATATATCCCCGTATCTCTTCCCTCTTGCATCTTCCTCCCTCCCCACAATACTTCTTACACAGCGAGAATTACCCCTCTAACACCTCTACCCCACTAAACCGTGAGATGTCAAGGCCAGGAAATACATACCCCACACATCTAGAATAGTGCCTAGATTCAGGAAGGATTCAGTAAGTATTTGATGAACTAAATAAATGTGATTGTTTTTACTACATATTTTTATAGATATCTAAAAATAAGAGCTGAAAAACAAACACTAACTCATATCAGTGGTCTCTAAATGAAACTAATTCAAAGTTTAAGACCTAACTAAAAAGAAAGTAAAGATTAAACCAAATATACACTGGACAAATGGCAAGATTTCTGCCATCTTTATAGCTAAGAATATAAAACTACTGAATTGAATTCAATGTGGAATTACTGAACTTCTCGAATAATAAATTGAGGATTACATACTATGGATACTAGGATTACATACATACTATGGAGGGGGTTTTGTTTTTCCTTTACATAGTGTCTGTTACAATGCAAAAGTAATTCAAACACATATCTTCTCTTCCAAGTCAAATCAGTAAGAATGGCTGATAACCGGGGAATAGGGGAAACTTAAGACCAACTGCAAGAAAACAGAATCTGCACACAATTCTCATTCCCATACAGGCTAATTTTCATTGGTGCCTGCCTGTTGCCTACATTAAGTTTACCTGAGCTAAAGTGGGGATTGAATTTTGACCAGTCTGCATCTGCATGTGAGCAGATTCGCTCTCTGCCACAGAATCTGGTATACTTCCATCCTGCTGAGAGTCAATTTCCATGGTCATTTGTCTGGAAAGACAATAAAAAGGAAGAAGTATTAAGGCCCTATCTGAATATCTGAAATATCTGTGTTCACTTGGCTTTCTGATTGATATTCATTTCTATCATCCAACTGTACTACTTTCTATTTTCAAGAAATAGACTCAGTGGCAGAGTCCTAACTCTCCAAACTTAAAGGCACCTTCTCTGCTCACTGGGTATGAACATTACCAAGGGAGCACTACAAAATGTTCCATGGAATTAGTTTATTTAAAAAAAATTTTAATCTTATAATAAAGCCTCCTTGATAATTATTTTAAGCCCTCTTGCATAAATTAGTGATAAAGTTAGGTTTTATATTTTACATGAAGTTTAAATATTCAATGACTCTCACGGCCTAATAAACCTGCTTTACATTATGATGTAATATGAAAGAACTTCCACATTGTCTAAATTAAATGTGCTACAATATAAAGATGTATCTGCTTTGTCAGCACTAAGTAGCTTCTGATAAAAAAGCCTGTCAAATTGAATCACTCAGAGTTGACCATTTGTCCTGCAGCTCTCCCTTTACTTAAAGAGGAGAATCTAATTTTTCCAGGAAAAACTTATGCAATAATCTTTTTGCCTATAATTTCAATTTAAGTTAATTATTTCTATATAGACTCTTTCTAGATAGATGGTAAACCATATTATAATGTTACCCTACTACTAGAAAATATAAAATGCAAACAAAAAATAAGCAAAATCAAATTCCAAAAACTTATAGGAACTACTCCCTGCTATTGTATATCTTTTCAGTTGTCAATAATATAGTGTGTTTTTTTCACCTTAGTAGACTAAATATATATCCAGAAAGTCTGCAGGTAAATTAGAACTTTGAATTGACATGTCCAGATCTTTTTTCCCAGATTTGATTAGTAACCAGATCCTACAGATCCTTCATCTACTTAATACCTTCTTTTGCATTTCAACAAACATTACCTGAATTCAAGTCTTCTGTTCTCAAAGCTGTCTGCTGTAGTCTATACTACACCTAGAATTACTTCTCCCTATTCAGACATTTTAATACTTACAACTGAACATGACAATTTAGAGCAATTATAAAAATAAAAATCTAGAGTCTACTATGAAAAAATGTCTTTCCCTCAACATTCCCCAATTCCTTTATCTCTTTTCTTATTATTTCCCAACATGGACTGTCCAATTCTAGGTAAGTAGAGGCCATGCCCCTGCAAAAACTGCCAATTCCTGCGGTTCTACTTTTGCTGTGAGCAGTTCCCAAAGAGAATACCTAGAACACTTAATTCTGCAAGATATGAAAAGGTATTCTCTGAGAAAAGAGGGTAAGGGGGAAACGCTTAGTTAGAGGTTGAAATATCCGGGATTAAAAGGGTTTCTTTGCTGCAGAATTTTCTCAGAAGCTTGAATATTTCAGTGTGACTTGAGAAGGGTGGAGGGTACAGATCCAATAGGCAGCATTTTCCAAAAGTATCTGACTCCCCTAGACCCTCTTCCCACAAAGCAAGTCCTAGCAGAAGTGTTTTGGGAAGAACTTGAGAAATGTTGTCTTATGCTATTTCTTACACCATTATTAAAAGCTCTCTTTAGGGTCTTTCCTGGTGGTGCAGTGGTTGAGAGTCCGCCTGCCGATGCAAGGGACACAGGTTTGCGAGCCGGTCCGGGAAGATCCCACATGCCGCAGAGCGGCTGGGCCCGTGAGCCATGGCCGCTGAGCCTGCGCGTCCGGAGCCTGTGCTCCATGACGGGAGAGGCCACAACAGTGAGCAGCCCGCGTACCGCAAAAAAAAAAAAAAAAAAGCTCTCTTTAGGCTCTGCCAAGAACTTGAGTCTCCACTCAAACATTACACACTGAAAGGCCTTCCCCACTTCAGGAACATTCCTTTAGCACCATCTACAATACATGACAGGCCCTGAGAATACAAAAGTTAAGTCACAATCCTTGCCCTGAAGGAAATCATTCACCACTTGGGCCCTGGTTTCTCAAAGTATAGTCCTCGCACAACCTGTATCAGAATTAACAAATACACTTGTAAAGACAAAAAAAAGGCAGATTCCCAGACTCAACCCCAAATCTACTGATTCAAACTTTCTGAGGGGTCTAATTTTTTACATCCAAGAGATTCTGATATATATTAAAATTTGAGAAAAACTTAGCTTATTGGTAAATTCTATCAGTTAGACCAGTAATGAACACTTCTTAAACTGTGTGAAGGATGTTATGTACGAAATGCTTTGGAAAACATAGGAAGGAATGTTGAAGTGGGCCTGAGGATGGGGCCATGTGAGTTGTATACTGAAGGATGAGAAGCATTTCACCAGGTAGAAAAGGACAGGAGGACCATGAGAGGAAGGAAAATACGGAGAATGTCTGGAAAATAGAGTAGCCGACTGTAGTAGGGAATGTGGTGAGGCGTGGGGGAGCCCTCGGGGGAGCCTATCTACATCTAGCGGGGAAGAGGCAGAGCAGACAGGTGAAAGTATGGCCAGAAAGGCTGGGGGGATCCAGATTAAGAACTGCTTTTAATACTCTGGAGAGAAGAAATGTCCACGTCACTCAGATGCTCCTTTACTCTAGGTCCTTCAGCATCTACACTGTACAACGTTTCAACTGTTTGATATCTTAGAATTCAGTCAAGAACGAGACAATAACCAAGAGTTACCTGTTAACAGGCAAAACAAATGGCCCAAAGTTCGTAAACTGAAACTTCTAAAATGAGGAGTACCTAGTTGGTACTCTAAACCCATTCAATTTAATTTTAAATACAATTCTCATTTATCTGGTTTCTAAACATACTGGATATAAGAAGTGACAGCTGGAAATAGGGTAAGGGGAGGAGAAAATATACAGAATATAATAAACAGGTCAAGAATTCCAAGTGTGGCTGTGGGTGGGAATGTAAGTTGGTGCAGCCATCGTGAAAACAGCATGGAGGGTCCTCAGAACACTCAAAAGAGAGCTGCCACACGACCCAGCAATCCCTCTACTGGGTGTATATCCAACCCCCTGCACTAATTCGAAAAGACACATGCACCCCAATGTTCACAGCAGCACTGTTTACAACTGCCAAGATATGGAAGCAACCTAAGTGTCCATCAACAGATGACTGGATAAACAAGATGTGGTCTGTATACACAGGGGAATGCTACTCAGCTATAAAAAATGGAATTTTGCCATTTGCAATAACGTGGATGGACTTGGAGGGTATTATGTTAAGTGAAATCAGTCAGACAGAGAAGGACAAATACTCCATGATATCACTTATATGTGGAATCTAAAAAATACAACAAACTACTGAATATAACAAAAAAGAAACAGACTCCCAGATATATTGAACAAACTAGTGGTTACCAGTGGGAAGAGGGAAGCAGGAGGGACAGGATAGGGGTAGGCGATTAAGAGGTACAAACTATTAGGTTTAAAATAAGCTACAATGATATACTGTACAACACAAGAAATATAGCCAATATTTTATAGTAAGTAAAAATGGAGTAGAACCTTTAAAGGTTGTGAATCACTGTATTAGTACCCCTGTAACTTATATAATATTGTACATCAACTATACTTTAATAAAATTTTTTAAAATTATTTTTTAAAAAAGGAATTCCAAGTGTGTAGCAATTTGGGCCCATACAGGGTAAAGTCTCCTAGTTCTTTATATTCAGGAAATTGAAGAATTTATGAGTTAAAATTCAATAACTGATATTTACAATAACTATCCTGAGTCATTAAGAAAGAAAATAATTATACTTTGTATAATTTAAGGAAAGAGGAGTATACATAATAGAATCTAGGAAGACTCCCACCAAAAAAAGCACTAATGCTTAAAAAGGTAAACCTAAGCTATTCAGGAGTTGTTTTTTGAGATATAATGAAAGACTTCATAAGTTATTAAACATTTCAAACTGTTTTACACATGAAAGTGTTTTATACACAGTATTTCATGCACTCACGTTCACTGTTCCCTTTTTTTCCTGGGTATTCCCCAGAGTTCAATCCTTCGCCCTTTTACTTTTTTCAGTCTACATACTATGGCTTCCTCAATCCTATATGCATTTGACTCCCAAATCTGTATCTGTGCTTCCCCCCCCAGTGAGCAACTTAACCTGGAGTTTTCACAGACACCTATCCCTTCTCTTATATTCCTTCTTTCAGTCAAGAGCATCACTATCCATTCAAGCTCCAAAGTTAGAATCATGTGTCTGTATGTGAGTCAGTACCACACCAACTACCAAAAAATCCATATAGCTAAATACCAGCCAGATTAGGATGCCACGAGGCCCTGAGCCTCCTAGTGAGGAAAGGCAGAAATGGAAGGTTAGCAGCACCCCCTCCCTGCCACCCCCGTTCATCCTCCCTGCCACACTTGGCATCATCCACTAACCTCCTATCCCAGCACTGGACCAAGCAGCTGCACTGATGCTCCTCACAACTGCTACCGTCCACTCACACATCACAGTAAGGTCCCCTGTAAGCCATGACTAAACTGCAATGCCCCTTCACCTATGACAGAATCGTATCCATTAACATCTCACATTCTGGTTTCCTCAGCCACTGTCAAAGATACAAGCTCCTCCCACATTTCATTTTCACTCTCATAACCAGTGCTTCCTTTCCCCCCATAATACAGTTGCTCGCTCCTGTTCTCCTCCGAAGCCTTTGCGATGTGCTGCCTGGAACTCCCAAAGCCCCCCACACCCCGCCTCAAGAGGGAGCTGTCTGTCTTCCCACACTGAATCAAGATCCCAATGTTGACTTGGCATCCTCACTGATCCCCACTATTTCCCAGCTGTGCTTCCTCTGCTCCTTCATAAAAACTCCTGTTCACGGAGCCTCAAGGTATTGGGTGTACCATCCGATACTACTCATCCATGTGAAATCATCAGCTTCTATTTTCGAGGACTGACACTGAAGACTTTGGCACCTGACTTAAAAAAGCTTTCCTCTCCACCATTCTGTGTTATGTTCCACCCTCAAAACACAGGACCCATCCCTCACCCTGATGCCT